CTGTTGCCCAGGCTGGAGTGCAATGGTTCGATCTCAGCTCACTGCAACCTCCACTCCCTAGATTCAAGCAATTCTCCTGCCTCGGTCTCCCGAGTAGCTGGGACTACACGCACATGCGCCATGCCTGGCTAATTTTTGTATTTTTTAGTAGAGATGAAGTTTCACCATGTTGGCCAGGCTGGTCTGGAACTCCTAACCTCAGGTGATCCACCGGCCTTGGCCTTACCGGCTTTATTATTATTCAGGTATGGTGAGGCTGCAGATCTGGAGATGGTTGCCACTGAAAAGATAGTTTGTGATTTGTGGTTCCCAAGGGGGGAACATGCCATGCTGCATGCTGGTGGGGGCCAGACAAAGAAGCACTGGGGCGGCCAGGAGTCAGAGGGCAAGGGGGTACTGTGGGTGGAAACCTTTACTGCACTTTTGGTGAGAAAGAACAGGCAAGGCAGGGTCAGCAAGTTTAGGATTGGGTTGTGAGAACAATCTCTGTGGGCTCTGGGGCCTAGAGACTCTCCCTTGTTGTCTGGTACCCAGCCCTGGGGTGATGTCGGAAGGGGGATGGTGGCCTAGTGTGAGAGTCTAGTCATGGCTGGATGTGGTTGGGGGTGTTGGAAAGATGTTTGGTGCAGTGTGTGTGTCTCCTGGTGTGGCAGGAAGACAGACCAGCAGCAAGGGAGGTGAGGCTAGTGGGGGTATGTGATGGAGGTGGTGAATCACGGAATCGAAGCTTGCTCGCTGGGAAGTCGAAGAAAGTACACGGATTAGAAAACCTGAGATCCTGTTGGGTTTGTGGGGAACAAGCTGACCCAGGAATGCCTGGAGAAGGGAGGCTGCAGCCATTTGGGATGCCCACACTTATTCAAGGTGGGATGGTTTTGGGTAATGCTCCAGGTGACTGTGAAGGGAAGTGGTCCCTGGATGGGAAGGAAATGATAGGCTATACGTGGGAAATAAAATTTGCCAGGATCCTGGAAGGCCATGACGTGGCCGTGCCCCTTCCAGGCAGGCGGCGGCCCATCTCAGCCGCATTGCTTGCCATGCCTTCTGTGTGGGAGCAGGGAGAGCCCTCACGCAGCAGAAGCAGAGCCGCACTTCTTTTCACCAAATGCCATGGCACCGAAAGAAAGGTGGAATATAAACTCCATGAGTTTTTTTTAATCTTGGAACTTCCAATGCTCATTATAAAGACAAGCTGCTAGGTGCCCTATAACTATTAGTAGTCTGAAATAATCAAATAAGGAGAGAAGTAATCATACATGTACTTTTATTAGTAAAAAAAGACTAACAGCCCACCGGAGTTAAGGATTGATGAGATAAGGCGTGTGAGTAAACGTGGAGACACAAAAATCAACTCACGATCAGAAGGTGGCAGAGGGAGCGGGGATGGTAACTTAGGTTGAAAGAAATGGCATTTTAGAAACGGTAATGCAAATCTGCCTTTGATAAATAAGAATACATCACGGAGTGGGGACAAGAATGGATAGTATGGTAGCACAGACGGAGATGGAAAAGAGATCCCGTGTGCATGCTGGGGAATATCAGTCACCCCTGGAACCTTCCCTGAGCCTAAAATAGAACAGGAATCCAAGTGTCTCTATGTGGGAGAAACGTGAATGCTGTCACTTCCACGTCAGCCGGGCTGCGGAAGCAGGACCCCAGGGGACCACGGGCTCGTCACCACAGGATCTCACCACTGGCTCTGCCAAGGCCTGGGGTCCTTTCCAAGCAATCAAATTATAGGTGTGAAATGCATTTGAGCTATTTTCTCCAAAACATACCACAGAAGATCACAAGAGGATGCAGAAGATGACTTCCTCCCATTGAAATGGCTAAAACAAAAGTGATAAAAATAAATTTGTGGTTAAAAATATCTGAGGATTGATAGGGCAACAGGGTATCATTACTCAGAATCTGGCCTGCAATTAAAGACTTCCAAAAACGGCAGATCGCCTCCTTCTTCACCAATTCCACATTTACCCCCACCAGTTCTACTTGCAGAAGGCAAGACTTATGAAAGAGGCTTCCTTACAGTCACGAGATTCCCACAGTAGGGTGTGGCGCTCACCCCAATACTTTCAATATTCTGGGTTCTTACAGTGTCTGTTTCTAGGTTCATTTGTTTTGACGGATCAAGGAGGAAATTGTTTTCCTGTGTCGACGTTAACCACACTTCACGCTTCCCTGCTAGCAATCTTCAGGTGTATTACTACTATTGTTGTTATTGACTTCAAAAGGGAAATCTCCTTAAGAGCCTCTACAATGGCTGGAAACAATTGTAAACAATTTTTCTTTTTCTTTTCTTCTTTTTTTTTTTTTTGAGACGGAGTCTCACTTTGTCACCCAGGCTGGAATGCAGTGGCCCGATCTCGGCTTACTGCAAGCTCCGCCTCCCAGGTTCACGCCATTCTCCTGCCTCAGCCTCCCCAGTAGCTGGGACTATAGGCACCCGCCACCACACCTGGCTAATTTTTTGTATTTTTAGTAGAAAAGGGGTTTCTCTGTGTCAGCCAGGATGGTCTCGATCTCCTGACCTCGTGATCTGCCCGCCTCGGCCTCCCAAAGTGCTGGGATTACAGGCGTGAGCCACCGTGCCCGGCCAATTTCACATTTTAAACTCTCAGTACTGGGTGTTGGCTGTGCAGAACCTGTTCTTTTTGGTTTGCTTTTTAGATGCCATCCTCACACATATCTCTTCTGTCTGGTCTATCTAAAAGAGAATGCGGAGAGAAGATGGAAATTCAAACCTAGGAGGATGTAGATTTCTTAAGAATAAGATACAAAATTTTTACCTTTAGGATTTTCTTGCACGTAGTAGTTAATCGGTTAGCATTTCTTGGGTGGATAAAATCACACCATGTAATTAATGTTAGGACTTTAAGGCAAATGCCAAAGAGGAGAAATATACACTCATTAAATACCAAGTTACCTGAGCAGAAGCTCAGCTGTCTTTCTGCTAGCATGACACATAAAGAGCAAGGTTCAGACTACAAGCAGCTGACCATGCAGACAGCTTTCCTTCTCTTTCCTTTTTTCCTTCCTTCCTTCCTTCCTTCCTTCCTTCCCTCCCTCCCTCCCTCCCTCCCTCCCTTCTTTCCTTCCTTCCTTCCTTTCTTCTTTCCTTCCTTTCTTTCCTTTCTTTCTTTCTTTCTTTCCTTCTTTCCTTCTTTCCTTCTTTCCTTCTTTCCTTCTTTCTTATTTTTTGAGGCAGAGTCTTGCTCTGTCACCCATGCTGGAGCGGCACAATCTCGGCTCAGCTCACTACAACCTCTACCTCAGCTTTCCTTCGTGCATGGCTATTTCACAGCAGAACTGAGATGCTTGGAAACTTTAGCAACTACGCCTCATCGTTTCTAAATGGTAAATGGCTTCCCTGCCTGCTTCCAACCCTGTTGGGAGGGGCTTTCAGGTCTCAGGGCTGGAGGCACAGGAGTCTGAGGCCCATTTCCTAAGAAGCAAGTTGCTGTTGCCAGTCTGAGTCCCTGCAGCACCCTCTGTGCTCTCGGTAGTGTCATCTCTGCTGTTGTCTGGATGTGCTGGGTCCAGTGTCCTGCTGTGGGCGCTGGGACCATCAGCCTGCATGGTGCATCTCCTCATCTGTCATGTGAGGCTGATAACAACTGTCTTGAGGGGATGTTCTAAGAGTACAAATAAGGTGGTGAGTTGCATGAACCACTGAGCATCATGCCTCTGCCTCCCAGGCTCAAACGATCCTCCCGCCCCAGCTTCCCAAAGAGCTGGTACCACAGGCGTGCGCCACCACACCAGGCTAATTTCTTAACTGTTTTTAAAATTGTGCCTAAGTACACGATACAAAATTTACTATCTTTACCACTCTTAAGTGTGCAGCATAGTGGCATTAGGTACATTAACTTAGTTGTGCAACCGTCACCACCATGTGTCTCCAGAGCTCTTTTCATCTTGCACAGCTGAAACTCTGCACCCGTTAAACACAAGTCCTCATTTCACCTCCGCAAGCTCTTGGAAACCATCATTCAACCATCTCTATGAATTTGACTACTCTTGCTGCCTCCTCTAAATCCAATCATAAAGTATTTGTCCGTTTGTGACTCGTTGATTTCATGTAGCATAATGTCCTCAAGGTTCATCTGTGTTGTAACATGTGTCTGAATCTTTTTTAAGGTAGAATGACGTTGCTTGGTGTGGATGGGCTACATTTTGTCTATGCGTTCATTCCTCAGTGGACATTGGGGTTGTTTCCACTGTTTAACCACCTTTTAGCTATTGTGAATGATGCCCCTGGGGACACGGGTGTACAGATACCTGAGTTCCCGCTTTCACTTCTTTTGGGTATTTCCCCAAAGTGGGATTGGTGGATCACATGGTAATTCTATGCAAATTAGCTTTTTGAGGAATCTCCATGCTGTTTCCACAGTGGCTGCATCATTTTTCACTCCCACCAGCAATGCACACGGGTGCTAATTTTTCTACATGGTTTGCCAATACTTATTTTATGTTTTTTGTTTGTTTGTTTGCTGTTGTTTGTGTATAGTAGTCATTTTAATGAGTGTGAAATGGGACCTCATGGTGGTTTTGATTTGCATTTCATTAATGATAAGTGACGGTGAGGGCATTTTTGTGTACTTATTGGCCAACTGTATATCTTCTTTGGATAAATGTCTATTCATGTCTGAAACTTTTATGTGTTCAACGAGTCTATTATTATTATCATTAGAGAGTTTTCACATTGAGGCAAAAATAAGATAGATTTTTAGTTACAATTGAAGTCAAGTTCAGAGTGACACTTATGCTCAAAACTTTAGACAAGTTATATCTCTCCCCCGGCTTTCTGCACCATCCATCCAACAGGACTTGTTAAGCGGCTGGTCCTTCACTTAGCAGAGCTTCGTGTGCACTGCCACTGGCAGAAGCCTTGTAACGCTAACAAGAGCAGCCGCCAGTACTAATGGCAGTCAGTGGACACACTAAAAGGAAGCTCAGCAAAGATGCAAATGTGTTCCGATTTAAATATTTTACAGGAAGTTGATGGGAGGATGGATGGAGTGGCCCGGCATTTGCCATTGGTTCTCTGATTTTGGACACAGGAAAACTTCCTGCTGGCAAAGAGAAAATTTGCAATGATGATCCTGATTTGGAATGGAGGCTGAATTCAGGAGATTTGCCAGGAAGAGAAGACATAATCTTGAGTCTGGTTTCACCAGGTTTGTTATAAGAGGATATAGCCAGAGTCGTGCGGTCAGAAACTCCTAACTCCTTATAAGACTGTGATATTGGCTGGGTGCAGTGGCTTACGCCTGTAATCCCAACACTTTGAGAGGCTGAGGTGGGTGGATCACCTGAGGTCGGGAGTTTGAGATCAGCCTGACCAACATGGAGAACCCCTGTGGGAGGCAGAGCTTGCAGTGAGCCAAGATCGCGCCACTGCACTCAGCCTGGGCGACAGAGACAGACTCCGTCTCAAAAACAAAAAAATGCAAAATTAGCCAGGCATGGTGGTGCATGCCTGTAATGCCAGCTACTCGGCAGGCTGAGACAGGAGAATTGCTTGAACCCGGGAGTTGGAGGTTGCAGTGAGCTGAGGATGCGCTGCTGTACTCCAGCCTGGGCAGCAAGAACGAAACTCTGTCTCAAAAACAAAAAGGAAGACTCTGACATTAATATAAATATTTGTCCAGAGGCTTTTATAGATCTTTGCAAGGCATATGTTTGTACCTTATTTTTATCTTTTTGGTTTTTTTTTTTTTTTGAGACGGAGTCTTGGTCTGTCACCCAGGCTGGAGTGCAGTGGTGCGATCTTGGCTCACTGCAACCTCCATCACCCAGGTTCAAGCGATTCTCCTGCCTCAGCTTCCTGAGTAGCTGAGACTACAGGTACCCGCCACCATGAATGGATAACTTTTATATTTTTAGTAGAGGCAAGGTTTCACCATGTTGGCCGGGCTGGTCTTGGACTCCTGACCTCAAGTGATCCACCTGCCTCACCCTCCCAAAGTGCTGGCATACTTTTATCATTTTTTAAATAATCAATTCAGTATTTGTATAGGGATAAAATTGATTTCTGGGACTAGACTTCTAATGTATGCTATTAGTCCCCCAGGCCATAAGATCCACCTTAAAATGTCCAGACTTGCAGCTCTCTCCAGCCACAAATCCAGGTTTCAGCCAGCAGCTCGTGCCTGTCTTGAGAGTCACTGTGGGGATTCAGTGAGATAAACACAGACGTATGGAACCAGAGGACTCCCCATGACAGCTCTGACTCAGGGAGCCGTGGTGTGGCTCGCAGAGGAGACATGCAGTGCCCCAGGTCATGCGGCGTTGAGAAGCCGTTTCCACCTCTGGTCCCTCGTGGCCACTTAACATCCCCCTACATTAAAACACTCGAATGCAGAATTGTCTGAGTAGCCTACTTAATACTAATTTGTTAATATCCTTCACAGTGTCAGGAGAAGTTTTATTGTATTTTAAGTTTGGTATCATTTTAGTTTAGTTCACTTCTTTTGTTTCAAATACCTTCAACAAGAGTGCTTGTATCTTTTTCCCCCAGCTTCCTGCAGAATTCCACATTAAAAAGGATGAAGAACGGGTTGTTAGCAGACTGAGGCACTTGGGGCCACATATCATATGCAACAGGAGGGAGAAACGACTCCAGGTGAGGAGTCTAGCGAAGCTCCCTGGCTGGCCGAGTGCACGCAGGAGCACCGTGGGCTTTGAGCGGGTGTTTGCCAGTTACGCGGGAGCGGCATCGCTGCCCTCTTCATTGTGTGCAGGCCACTGTGCTGGCACAGCCATGCTTCCCGCTGTCAGACACAATGGTGGTTCTTAGGGTTGACACTGTGGCTGTACAGTTGCTGTGTTCATCTTTGTGTCTGACCCGACCGAGTAATGCTGCCCCGTGGAGGAGAACCATGGGTTTAATCTCTAAATCACCACCTCCGTGTTATTTTTAGAAAAACAATCATCAGGTTTTGGTGAAATTGATGTTTGCAAGTGTGAGTGAGCCCCATGTGCTCAAGCTTGAGGAACTCCTGAGATGGCACAAGTTCTGCCGCACTGGGCAACGGGTGGTCTTGAAGCACACAAGACACTAGAAGACATGAGGGCAATTGCTACACGCCAAGCCCGGTGCCAAGCACGTTGTGCAGGCTGTTTCGCTGATTCCCGGCCCAGCCTTTGAGATCTGTGGAGGACACCATGAACTGTGACACTGTCTTTTCCTCCTGCTTGCAGGAGCTGGCAAACTGGAACCTGCTTTTCTACACCACACTGCAGAGGGCCCTGAATGTGATCTATGATTCCAACAAGCAGCCCGGACGCAGATCCGGAGGGCAGGGATGACGTGGGGGCTGCCTTTCTGGTTGACCTGCTGGTAAGCATGGCCTTATGGATCTATCACCAACAGCGCCCAGTCACTTGGGGAGGTCGAGTGGCAGGGCTGGGGCATCCATCAGGGTTTGAGTTTTGCTTATGTGGACCAGCAGGTGCAGCACAGCCGCATCTCAGTGCAGGGCTTCCTGATCCTGCAGCACAGCTAACACCGTGCTTCCCGAAGGCAGCCTCTCCCCCACGGGGCTGCTTCCCCAGTTCTGGGCATCAGTCCCAGAGACGAAGACCAGAGCCATTCACTCTGGCTTGGCCAACAATTCTGTGAGCACCCAGTTCTCTGGATGAAATTCCTTTCTGCTTTACATAATTAAAATAACCTTTTTCCCCTGCAACTGAACTGAGTGATAAGGATGGGAATTATTATTTTGATTCATAAATGAGGCAACTGGGGCTCAGTAAGGTTAAGAGCAGATGATGACTAAGAGTCAGAGGATGGGCACAGTGTGGTGGCTCACACCTGTAATCCCAGCACTTTAGGAGGCTGAGGCAGGCGATCACGAGGTCAGGAGATCGAGACCATCCTGGCTGATGTGGTGAAACCCCGTCTCTACTAAAAATACAAAAAATTAGCCGGGCGTAGTGGCGGACGCCTGTAGTCCCAGCTACTCGGGAGGCTGAGGAGGCAAAATGGCGTGAACCCGGGAGGTGGAGTTTGCAGTGAGCTGAGATCGTGCTGCTGGCACTGCTGTACTCCAGCCCAGGCGACAGAGCGAGACTCTATCTCAAAAACAAAACAAAATAAAAAGAATCAGAGGATGGATTTAAGGGCAGGCCTGCTATCTCTGAAAATAGTGTATCTATATTATACCTTTAGATTGCTTTCCAAGAAAGTCTGAACTAGTAAATATTAAAGAAGCACACATTCCTCTTCTGACAATAATGCAGAGTATCTAACTTGGAAATCCTGCTTCCCTCCACCACAAAGGGTCACGGTGTAAAACCTAACAAACATCCTTTAAATTGTATTTTCCCCGTCAGAAAAAAACAAATACAAAAAAGAAAAACAAAAATGTGAAGGAACTTTTTCAGGGAAAGAAGGGAATGAAGAAAGAGAGGGAGGAGCTATGGCTGTTTCTGCTCTGTGCTGGAGACGGTTGCTGCTGTTGTTTGTAATTCAAGGGTTTAGGTTCTAATGCTGATATCAGGTGAAGAGATGAAGTGTGTCTTTAGCCTTAGCAAAGTTGATATTGAAAAGTGAAACTCACACATCCAGTCAGAAACAGGTAAAGGTTTATACCTTCAGTGAAATCTTGTCTGTCTTAGTCTCAATTTTGAATGGGGAGAAATGCCTGTGTTAGAATTCACAATATTCTCTCTGCAATGGACATCGATTTGGGGTTCAAATTTATATTACTAGAATAGTGCAGTAATTCTCAAGCCAAACAATTAAAATACAAAATGGTCCTAGTCCACATTTTCATGAGATTTCTGGCAGAAGTAAATGCGAGCCTTATTTGGAGAAATAAGTTATCACATGATTCCCTTAGATAAAACCCCAATGATGATGAACTCACAATCTATAATTCTAATGCACAGCAGAAAATAATTCACCAAGAGTGAAAGTCTTAATGAAAGAAACAGAAACAATAAACTGTAGGATTAGACCTTCAAAAACTTTAGATGATAAAACAATGAAATAAATATTTGAAGTGGGGCTGGGGCCCAAGGGGCTATTACTGCTGTTTGGAAATACTAGCCTCTCATAGATCCAGCCTTAATGGTTTTCTGATGTCCTAGTAACAGCAGACCCTGCACAAAGTGGATATCAGAGTTAACACTATGAGGAGATAAAATAATGAGAATAGTTTTACCAAAGGTAATGAAATATTGCATAAAGTCTGCACTTTACCATTGATTTGAGTGCATCCCTAGAAAACTGAATGTAACAGAAATCCAGGACAGTTTTGGAAGTTGTATGCTCTCTAGCAACTTTGTGTGAATTTTCATACAAACACTGTGTTATGAATTACAAAAATTTTATAAAAATAGAAAAAAGAAATAAACACTATGAATTTTTTTTTTTTTTTTGAGATGGAGTCTCGCTCTGTCGCCCAGGCTGGAGTGCAGTGGCAGGATCTCAGCTCACTGCAAGCTCCGCCTCCCGGGTTCACGCCATTCTCCTGCCTCAGCCTCCCGAGTAGCTGGGACTACAGGTGCCCGCCGCCTCGCCCGGCTAGTTTTTTGTATTTTTTGGTAGAGACGGGGTTTCACCGTGTTGGCCAGGATGGTCTGGATTTCCTGACCTCGTGATCCACCCGTCTCAGCCTCCCAAAGTGCTGGGATTACAGGCTTGAGCCACCGCGCCCGGCCGAAATTATTTTTTAAATGATTAAAGGCATACAAGATGAATTTTAAAAAACAAAAATATTTTGACAAAGATTTTGTAAAGAAGAAAACTTCTAGAAATGAAAATATGTAGTTTTAAAAAATGAACAGTGTATAAAACAGCATATTAGACACAGTTTGAGAAATAGTTACTGAGTGAAAGAAACATCTAAAGAGCATACAACACAGAAGGACAAGAGAGAAAGCAGGAAGCAGAACAGGAGCACCGTATTCGTTGGGAGGAAAGTGTTGACACACATTTATTATGAGTTCCAGAGGCGAAAGTAGAAAGAGAGGGTGATAATGTGTGAAGAGGTGACAGTTACCCTTCTTCCAGAATTCATTAAAGATAATGCTCCTTATTCAGGAAGTACTAGCACTGAGAAGGACTCATGTGTAAACTAAAACACAGCAAGATATTGATCACCAAAGACAAAGAACCGAACCTAAAGCAGGTTACTTTAAAATAGAAGAAACAATTAGACTCAGAGCAGGCTTCTCAACTTGAACTGTAGAGCTGGGATCAGCAAACTACAACCCATGGTCTGGAGGGCTGCCTGTGCAAATACAGTTTTGTTGGCACAGTTACACCCATGTATGCACATGTCTTTATGGCTGCCTCCAGCTTCAGTAGCATTGTTGAGTACCTGTGATGGAAATCACATGGTGTGCATGTGGTTGATTCTTAAACAAGCGCTCTGTTTCAGAAAATGTTTGCTGATCCCTGGTATGGAGAACAGAATTCAGTGACATAATATATTTAAAACACTGAGAGAAAATTGCTGACATCTAGAATTCTATACATACTTGAACTTTTTTTTTTTTGTTTTAGAGGTGGAGGTAAAATAAAAATATTTCAAAAAGCAAAAAATTTAGAAAGTTTACCTTTTTTCTTTTTTTGAAATAAGGGTTAAACTATTTACTTCAGTGGAGGAAATAAAACCCAAATCAAAGGCAGATACTACAACAAGAAGGGAGCAAAATTTGCCAAATTTATAGGTAAATCTGAAAAAAGGACATATTTGTCTCAAAGAATATTAGTAATGATAAAAATGACCAATACTGAGGTCATAAATAAAGATGAAACAAAAATGCTAGGTGACAATAACATGTAAGCTTGTGAGGGTAAGTGGCGATCAGAGCGTGGAATTCAAAACCACTTTTATTTTTTATTTTATTAGGAGGAGGGTGGAGACAATGGCTAACTTTATACTTTGTTAAATCAACTGTGTGCATGTATCCATTTTAAGAGTAGCCTCTAGCACAATAAAAATAGAATTGTTTATTGGAGAGGGAAGGCCGGGTGACAGTGAAATCCACAGTCTCTAGCCTCCATGTGTAATTTATTCATTATTCACATAAATTCCACTGTAGATTAGGCAATTCCCCAAGGCAGCTGCCCTGCCTGCTGTGCCCCAGCTAATCCTGGGGGCTTTGATGGATTGCGTGCATATGCCATGTCGACATGGCTTCCCCACTCTACACCAAGAGGGAGGGTCAGGCGTGGGAGCTCACAGCCCCTCTTCTACCTTAGCCTGAGAAATGACATCCATCAGATAACCTTCCTGCAGGGACTCACAGTGCATCTAGGGGTACATGGAAAATGTTTGGTGAAAATTTCCATCACTGTTGCAACCCACCTTTATGGCTGCCAAATACCCCTTTGTTGCCATATATATCCCAAGGAAGATAGCTCACAAGTCCTCTTGAGTTTTCATGTTTAGTTCAGAGTTCAGGATCTGTTGACCCTATAAATTCCACTATAGGAGGACTGTTAGTCCTTTAGATGCTGAATCAACTCAGCCTCCTTGACTGTTTGGAAAGTGTGGATCTTCCAACTCAACACATACTCCAACTCACACACAAAGCGGAGAATTCACACTGGCCAGAAGTAGTCACCTGGCCTTACCCAACAACAAAAGGCTGGGAAGTGCAGGGAAGCACCAGAAAATGAATAACTTCAAATCAATAAAGAGAAACAGGAATGAAAAAAAAATCTAGTCGATCTCTGGGAAGATGTGCGGTTGATTATAAATGATGACAATTTTTTGGCCATGGGGAGATGGCAGTCAAATTCTGGGGTGAACTTACTAACTTGTTTGGCCCGTAAATTGCAGTGGAAGTGAAGCGATGTGACTTACAAGGCTAGGTTTCTAACAGCCTGTGACTTCTGCCTCAGTCTTTGGAAACACTTTCTCCTGGCACTGAGTCATCATCTAAGATATCTAACTACCCGAAGTCCAAGCTGGCCGCATGGAGAAGCCACATGGAGAACAAACACAGGATGTCCCACCCCTCCAAGCTCCAACTTCAGGCGTGTACCCAGAGCCATCCCAGACTCCCCAAACCAGCCCAGCCACTAGCAAACATCACCAGGTGAACCCAGTCTACCTCTCACAGAACAGAAGACTCACCCAGTTGGTCCTTGACCCGGAACCACAGAGTTCTTCACTATAACAAAATGGTTGATGTAAGGCACTAAATTTTGCAATAGTTGGTTATGCAGCAGCAGACAGCCATGGTAACTGTCTACAGACAGCCACAGAAAAGAATAACATGAACACAAAGGCAGAGGCTGGGAAACCTTGACCAGCTGCCCGCACATCTGCAAATGACAGGAAATTTTCCCAAATGAAAGTTTAAGTCCACTTTTAGTCTGTGCTGATATAAATACGATGATCTT